TGGCGGGACTGCGGGGCCTGCGGAAGCTCAGCCTCAGCCACAACGAGCTGGGCGCCGAGGGCCCGGGCCTGCCCCCCCGCCTCGCCGAGCTGGGCCGCCTCGAAGAGCTCGACCTCAGCTTCAACCGCCTGCGCCGCCTGCCCGAGGGCTTGGGCCGCCTGCGGCACCTCCGTGCCCTCGACGTCGACCACAACCTGCTGCCCTCCTTCCCCGCCCCACTGCTAGAGCTAGCCGCCCTGGAGGAGCTCGACTGCTCTGGCAATCGCCACCTCGGGGCCCTCCCCGAGGGCATCGCCGCCCTCCGCCGCCTCAAGATCCTCTGGCTAAGTGGCACCGGGCTGGCGGCCCTGCCCGAGGGTCTCTGCCAGCTCAGCGCCCTCGAGAGCCTCATGCTGGACGGCAATCGGCTGCAGGCGCTGAGGCAGCCTGCAGCGGCTCAAGATGCTGAACCTCTCCTCCAATCTGCTGGGGGAGTTCCCCGCTGCCATCTTGGCGCTGCCCAGTCTAGAAGAGCTCTACCTGAGCCGCAACCAGCTCACCCTGCTGCCCCCTCACCTCTGTCAGCTCCGCCAGCTCCGCACCCTCTGGCTGGACAACAACCGCATCCGCTACCTGCCTGACTCCATTGTGCTCCTCCATAGCCTGGAGGAGCTGGTCCTGCAAGGTAACCAGATTGCCATCCTGCCCGAGGGCTTTGGGCAGCTTTCCCGCATCACCCTGTGGAAGATCAAAGACAACCCCCTCATCCAGCCCCCCTATGAGGTGTGCATGAAAGGCATCCCCTACATCGCAGCCTACCAGCAAGAGCTGGCCCACTCCCAGCCTGCCCTCAAACCCCGCCTCAAGCTGGTCCTCATGGGCCTAAAGGATGCGGGAAAGACCCTGCTGAGACGATGCCTCATGGAGGAGGATGGGCAGAGGGAGGACATGGGAAGTTTGGAGGCAGGGAGCACCCAGCCCAGAGGGTGCCCTGGGCAGCAGCAGGATGTTGGGAGAGTGCCAGTTGGGTGTTGCCCCTTTCCAGAGCCTCAGGATGCTTCCTCAGCACGGGTACCTGCCATGCAGCAGCTGGAACATCTCCCGATTGAGCGGCAGGGCATCCCTTCTCACATGCCCTCCCACCGAGTGAAAGGGGAAACAACATGCCCTGCACTGTCACTGCCACCGAATGCCCCCCAAGTACCATCAGGACTGGGACTGTCAGGAGGCAGCAAGGGCATTGAGGTGATGGACTGGACAGCAGATGCAGAGAGGGGCCTGACGTTCATTGTGTATGAGCTGGCGGGGGACCCGAGCTATGATGTGATCCAGTCTTTCTTCCTCTCTCCTGGAGCCCTGTATGTACTGGTGGTGAATTTGAGTGCCTACATCCCTCAGCACTTCTACCCCTCTGTGGGCTATTTCTTGCACTGGCTCGGTTCCAAGGTGCCCCATGCTGTGGTGTGCATGGTGGGAACCCATGCTGACCTTTGTGCAGAGCGAGAGTTGGAAGAGAAGTGCCTGGACATCCATCACCAGATTGCTCAGCAGGAGAAGAGGGATGCTGAGGGACTCCAGAGCTTGGTTCAGCAGGTGGATGAGGCTCTGGGACAGGACTTTGACCTGCGCTGCTCCAGCCCGCATGCTGCCTTTTACGGGGTCTCGGACAAGAACTTGCGGCGAAAAAAAGCCCAATTTCAGTACCTTCTCAACCACCGCCCACAGATCCTCTCTCCAGTGCTGCCTTTCAGCTGCCAGGACCGTTGCCAAGTGCGTCGCCTGCGGGACAAGCTCCTCTCGGTGGCTGAGCACCGGGATATCTTTCCAAACCTGCACCGGGTGTTGCCCAAATCCTGGCAAGTGCTGGAGGAGCTGCACTTCCAGCCACAAGCTCAGCAGCTGTGGCTTAGCTGGTGGGACTCTGCCCGATTGGGCTTGCAGGCAGGCCTGACAGAGGATCGGCTCCAGAGTGCCCTGTCCTACCTACACGAGAGTGGGAAGCTGCTCTACTTCGAGGAGCATCTCACCTTGCGGGAGTATGTGTTTCACAACCTGCCGCGGCTCATTGACATCCTCAACGTCTTCTGCCAGCGTGATGCCACCGTGCTGCTCCAGAAACTGCTCAGCGACACTTGCATTGACGAACTGAGGGCCACTCAGCTCCATCATTATGTGGAGGGCTTCTTGCTGCACGGCCTCCTCCCTGCCCACGTTATCCGTCTCCTTCTTAAGCCCCACATCCAGAGCCGGGAGGATCTGCAGCTCATCCTGGAGCTGCTGGAGAAGATGGGGCTCTGTTACTGTGTCAACAAACCCAAATGCAAGCCCCTAAATGGGGCGGCTGCTTGGTACAAGTTTCCCTGCTACGTGAAAAATGAGGTGCCCCATGCGGAGGCGTGGATCAACGGCGCCAATCTGAGCGGACAGTCCTTCGTGGTCGAGCAGCTGCAGATTGAATATAGCTTTCCATTCATTTTCCCACCCGGCTTGTTTGCACGCTATAGCGTCCAGATTAACAGCCACGTGGTTCAGCGGTCAGATGGCAAATACCAGATCTATGCCTACCGGGGAAAGGTGCCCGTGGTGGTGAGTTACCGGCCTGCCAAGGGAGCTCTGCAGCCAGATACTCTGTCTATCGCTAGTCACGCGTCCCTACCAAATATCTGGACAGCTTGGCAAGCTATTACCCCTTTAGTGGAAGAACTGAATGTCCTGCTGCAGGAGTGGCCGGGCCTGTACTACACTGTGCACGTCCTCTGTTCAAAGTGCCTTAAAAGAGGGTCACCCAACCCACACACTTTTCCAGGTAAGGCACAGCCCAGCTTGCCTTTCATCTCTTCGGTAGCTTTGCCCCTTCTAGAAGGGAGTTTTATGGTGTCAGTCTTAGCTCTTTTTTTTTTTTTTTTTTTATTCCTTCTCTCTCCTCTGCTCTAACTCCCTTCCCTGGTGACTTGAGGCATGAGAGAAAATATTAGGGTAGCTCCAAGGAGACAGGCTTAAAATAACCCTATTCTGAGATGAGGGGGGTGTTGCATCCCCCTTTGTCCGTACCTTTTCTCTCTGCTTTTTGGGTTTTGGCCCTGAGCGTCTGCAGTGCCATTGTTGAAAAGACCCTGACCTGTCCTTCTCCTTGTTTCGATTCCTTTGAATGGCACTCCGTTTTTTTCCTAATTCCCTTTACCCTGCAGCTCCCCCTTCCTTGAGGCTGCTTGTAAATGCAGATAGAGAAAGACCGCAGGTGTCCGGC